ATATATACTTTATATATATATATATATATATATATATCTATGGTTCATTAATTGCTTAATTTTGTGCACATTCCCATTTCTGAGGGGTTTTGTCCATAATGGTTATAATTCACACAGACTTTTTCATTCATAAGCAAAGAATAGTAACAATGGTTTTTTTGAGACAAGGTCTCACTGTGTAGTTGAGACTGACCTGGAACTCACTATGTAGCCCAGGGTGGTCTCGAACTCAAAGAGATTCTCCTGCCTCAGCTTCCCAAGTGCTAGAATTACATGTGTGCACCACCACATCTGGCATGACAGTGTTTTGAGTTTTGAGATTTTACTCTATTATGGTTGTTTCTTTGTAATTATGCAATCATAAAGTTATTGTTCCACTGTCATATCCTTCCAAAACCTGCATTGCCATTTGGTATAAGTTTATCATTGTTGTGTTGAAAATAAGCAATCAAAAGTGAATATTTTGTGCTAAGGATGTAGCTCAGTGGCACAGTGCCTGCCTGGCATGCTCGAGACCCTGAGTTCAATTTCTGGTACCCCCCCAAAGTGAATATTTTTATTTAGTATTTGCAATGATTAAAACTGAAACAACTTCATGTGAAAGTTTGGTAAATCTATAAAAATAAATATTAGTTGTTTCCAGTATTGTAATTAATGGTCTGCAGCATTTTTTACCACTTGTTTTATAGAAATTGACATATGACCAGCTTTCTGGGAAAAAAATAAAATAGATATGTGGTCAAATGAGTGTAGAAAGTATACCTGAGTTAGACAGTAATAATGCACATTAGGTATACAGAATTCCCATAAGTTGGGTAATAAAAATTTTATTTGATGTTTGTTATTTGATTGATGAAAACTTTTCAGCCTGAAATCTTTAATTTCTACCACTGAACACATACATAATTCAGTAAATTCTTATTCAAAATGATCAGTTTTACTGGGGCAAGAGTCCAGTGTTTGAAGCTTGGCTTTCTATTGCCACCAACTGAATCTTATCTTATTCTTCTACTCTCTGTAACTCAATGGGAGATGGTATAGCTATGAGACAAAGTTAAAGCATTAATAGATGTAAAAATGTTCACAAAGATAAAATGGCTAATCTACCAGGAAAATACAGCAATCTAAATTGTGTATATACCAAATAAACTAGCATATATATATAACTATCATATATTTTTTTTTATATATATATACATATATACATATATACATACATACATATATATATATGTATGTATATATATAACAAAAATGACAGCTAAATGGAAAAGTAGGTAAACCCACAAATATAGCTAGAGATTCTAAAAACACTTTTGGATTAACTGACAGAAAATCAGTGAGCAGGCAAAGGACTTGAACAACATAACGATAAACTTGCATCAACTGAATTATATAGAACATTCTCCTCAACAACTTTATAATACAAATTCTATTCAAGAGTGCTTGTAACATTTACCAAAATTGCATACATGCTGGATTATAGATATAGTCTCAACAAGTTTTAAAAGACTGAATTTATAGAGAGCAAATTCTACCAAATAATAAAGCTAAAAATAAATAACAATCAAATGACAGACTATCTTTTAAGTTTGGGAACATGAAACAATAAACTTCTAAATAACTCATTCATCAAAGCACAGTCTAGACAAAATTAGAGAATATTTGGAGCTGAATAGTAGTGAAGGTATGACATTAAAATGTATGAAGTAATGATAAAGTATTACTCAAAAGAAATATATAGTATGTAAAATATAAAATAAAATAATGCCTGAAGAGACTTAACTGACCTTGATAGATAGCAAGAGGTTCATACCGATTGACAGAGGTCTAACCTTAACTTGGTCTTAAAAGCCCAGCAGAAAGCAATAACAAAAAGAGGGATAAAATAATGCCATAGTAATAAGCTATACACAAAAAGGAGCTCCAATTGCTGACTCCTTTTGGCAGTTTCCAGCTACACCAGTAGCTGGCCATGATTATGAATCATTAGGAAAAAACTATGATCTATAAAAAACTATGAATCTATAAAAGCTTAGCTAAATTTTTTTATTTCTTAACAAAATTTGTTTTTCAAATTATCTCTTATCTTACAGCTAAAACTAGAGACTTATGACAAAGTATTAGACTTATAGATAAACTCTACCAATGAAAGAATCTAAGAGCCAGCAAATATTATAATCACTATTTCAATTTCTAAGTGTGACTTTGTCTCTAACCTCTCCTTTCATTCTAGTGTGGTCATGCTTAGACTACACCTGCTCTAATCTTGAAAGTTTTGTTTATTCTTGCCTAGAGGCTGCCAAACCCCAAGCAGTCATACAAATGGAACTAGTAACAAATGTGCTAGATGTCTTTTACTGGAATTTTACCAGATTGACCTTGTAAACAGCTCATTACTGCTAAACTATGCACTATGACTTCTATGTTGGAGTCTGAGGGTCTCCTGGACCTTATCCTTATCCTCTTTGTGGGATGCCATTAGTTTCTCCCAGTGGGAATGCTTTTTATATATTCATTTCAATCCTGCTGACCTTATAATTTGGCCCATGTATTCTTAACTGTTTCTTTGGCTCTATCTCCTCCAGACTCCAAGACATAAGCCTGCCCAATATGCCAATGTCCTATCAAAGGCCTTTAGATAGACCTTCTGTAGAGTAACTCTGACTGCTGATCACAACTACAACCCTCTTCAGTGGAAGTAGCCAAAACAGTCTTCACCCTTTGCCCCCTCAAACAATTAAGGGTACTTCTTCAGAGGGAGAAATATTGCAGATAGGTAAATTAATTAGATATCATGTAGGCAGTCAGACAGGGCCAGCTCAGGAAGAGCCAACATGGAGGACAGTAAAGACACATTCACTGAAGGCCAGAATTGTAAAAGGAGAGAAACTACCACATGCAGGTAGCATGAATAGCAGTGATTGATATTCTAAACAGGTTTCAATCACCTAGATGGGAACAAAGATCTTCCAAGAAAAGTCCTGCCCACCCCTTTCCACCGAAAATTCTTGCTCAGTTCTTGTATGCTTGCTGCGTGGCTTGTTTCCCCATTGGATCACCATTGAATCAGTGTTACTTGGGTGACTATACTTGATCATGGTTTGTACCACCTCATGCCTACCTTGTAAATTTCCATCAGGTCTTAAGAGTTTTGTTCCACTTTGTACCTGCCTCACCACATGGCTTTGCTTTATAACACATCTTTGAAAAGGGGGGTGGGCAGGCAACTCTCCTGTTCCCCTTCTGTCTCTCTTAGAAGCTTTCTTTCTCTAAATAAATTTTCCTACTCTTAAAAACCCAAAATATGTCTTAAGTATATACACAAAAAAGAGTTAAAAAGCTGACTGACCTAAAAATATAACTCAACATGATTGAAAGAGAAAATAAAATTAAGCCCAAAGAAAGTAAAATACAATAAGTAAACTAATGAAAAATAAGCAAATATACAACAAAGAAAATTAACAAAAGCAAAGTTCATTCTTCAAGGAGATAAAAAAAGATAAAATTTAAAACACTGGCATATTTGAAAATAAAAAAGATGGAAAATTACAGAACCGTTACAGAAAACATGCTACAGACATTAAAGTGTTAAAAAGGCAGTATAAATGACTTTAATAATAAGTTTGAAGATTTGGATGAACATGAATATTATTTAATAAATTACAAAGTGAAGCAAAAATAAAAAGATAATTGAAATTGTTTTATGTTTATTAAATATGTTAACTACATATTTTAAGACTTTTGCATGAAAAGAGAATCCCAAGATTTCATGGTTTACTCAGTGAATTCCTTATAATATTTTTGAAAAAATAATATTTATATTACACAAAATATTTTCTTTTTTTTAAACTTGTATTAATACATTCTTGCAGTACATAATGATTACATTTATGGTAGAGAATTGGTACATGTACATAGCACATTTTAATTCTCTTCTTTTTCCGTTTCCTTCCACACTCTTATTTTTCCAACGTCAGATTTATTTATCTTAGAAGACCTTATAAAGTAAATTATTCTATAAAAAGATTAATAACCAGAAATAGGCCAAAGAACATGTAAGACAATTGTATTAAGTGAAGGTACACTTTTAAGTACTTGTCCATACTGAATTACAATACCTTTTTTCTATTATCTATATTTATTTCATACTTCATAATACTGAGTTTTTTTCCTATGAGAGATGCCACACAATATTTAAGCTTTTGTGTCTGAGTTATGTTACTTAATATTATGGTGTCAAAGTGCATACATTTTCTTACAAATTATTCATCCCTTTTTATGGCAGAATAGTATTCTGTTGTGCATAAATACCACAATTTTTAGTTTATGTGTCTGTTGATGGGCATATAAGTTGT